GACGGAGCCCAACCCAAAACCGGTCCATTGACACCCCTAATTCTAGATGCTAGAGACTTTATTAGTGTAGTTTCTGCTTTGCTAGTTCGTTAGGTGTAATAAGTTTGTTTGGTTTCTTCTTCTTCCTTTTTTTTTTAAGTTTGTTTCGTTTCGGTTTGCTTTGTTTCTGTTGTTAGTCTTTGCTGCTTTATTGGTTCAGCTTGCTTGTTTGTTCTTGGACTGGATTGTTCTCTGTTTTGGGCCTTTGGCTTAATGTATTTCCTTGAAAAAAAAAAGAGAAAAATACCCCAAAGGCTGCATTTTGGTTGCAGTGCATTTTCATTTGCAATAGTATGAATGTACATGAGTGCAAATGAAAAGAATGCAACTTCTGATTTAATTTTGTTTTGGGTTTTACCATATTCTTCTTAGGGTCTTATTTTACTTTATTTGTACTGAAATCGAACAAAATAAGGTAAAGATTTGAAATAAAAAATTACACCCAAATCATTTTCACCACTATAGTTTTGCATCAGTACAAATTTATTTGCCCTGCAATCAAATGCAGCCTAAATTTCACTAGACACGAGTGGATTCTCTTGAAAAAAAACAAGGAATGAATATTTGGCTGGGTCTGCTCTCTCTCTCTCTCCTAATTTTTTTCCATGGATGATGATGTGAGTCAGAAAGGTTTACCCATGAATTTCCCAAGCCTTCACTGCAACTAGTTGGAGACCTTACCAACTAAGGCTCCGTTTGGCATGTCTTTTTGCATGAACTGTTGGCTTTTTAGAAGCTTAGAAGTCCATGTTTTTGCCTTTTCCCATTTAGTCGAGAAAAGATCTAGTCGTCAAAAATGTTGCACCGAAAAAATGCAAAAAGTCATTTTAAACGATTTTCTAAAAGCTTCAAATTGAAGGTTTCCGATTTTTTCAACTCGTCTTCACATGCCTTAACCAAACGGTCTTCAGACTATTAAGATCTTAATGCAAAAACTCACTATATTTTTTAACTGTTAGAACTTATAAAAGATCTTTTAAAAAAGACTTAACAAACGGCCTCGAAGTTAGTGGGCACCATCTTTGGGACCTTGTCTTTTTAAATAGAAGTTTCTGATTTACTACATTTTCCATCCCTTTGGTCAAGTTTGAAGGAAGCTCATTTTTATGTCCAACTTTCCAATTAAGAGCAACCCAATCAGTCACACTATCCAACCACTTGGACTTGGACAATGGATTTTTATATTGTCCAAATTGGAATTATAAGTCATAGAATCTTAGGGCACATCCTGTATTTTATAATAAAGAAGTGTTGAATAATATTTTCAAATTCAACTAAAAATAGACAAACCCCACAGGGTTTCATGTCTTTTCAAATCTCAGACGTGCCGGATTGGAAATTTGGAATTTTCACATAGAGATTTTGGTTAAAACTTTGGCTGTTTGAGAGTTTTATATGCATGGCATATTCAATCCAGATCTCTTCACAGGAAACTATTTCTGTACATTGAAAACATCTCTCCATGAATGATAACATGTAAATACATAAGATGTTCTCAATATACGGCTATAGTGATAATGTGGGTAAGAGCTCTGAACACTGACATATTATATGTATTTGGGGTAAAGGGGTTTTTGCAATCAATGTTTATTTTTTTACCAAAAAACAAATAGCCCAGAAAATCGGATTTAGTCCTCACAAGACCGTATTTATACCATTCACATAATCCCTTACAGTCTTGCATTAGAAATCATCTCTTCACGAAAAAACATACAAGTATAAAGATATTCTCAATGCACGGCCTTAAAAAGCTATGTAAACGGTATGAGCATCGTCTTATGAGCACTGAGGCCAATCTCACAGCCCAGGCTGTTTGGTAAAGTCTTTCTAACACTTTCACGTGATGTTGGAATACTAATAATATTCATTAGTCCAAATTCAATTTCGAATCTGATCCAATTAAACCAATCTAAACTCAACCCATTTATAATTGGATTGAATATGGATCCATCGCAACAGAATCTGCAATGGTCCCATATAATAATATTAGTTCACATAAAATTCATACGTTCCTGTTGGTAAATTCTGTTTGAATGTCGAATGCTTTTTAAAGAGATATATTCTAGGTCTCATAGAATTGCAGCGAAAAAATAGTCTCATAAGTTCAGTTTGGAAAGAGTACAAATACAAATATGTACAATACAAATAGATATAAAATAGTACAAAAAACAAGGTTTTGCACTCTATATATTTGTATTTATATTCCTTCTAAATGGAGCCATAAACACAATTTGGAAGGAATATAAATACAAATATATACAGTACAAATACATACAAAATATAAAATTTTGCATTCTACATATTTACATTTATACTACTTTCCAAACCATAGAAACTATGGTTTTATTTTTGAGAAATAAATATCAGTCATTTTTAATTTATTTTATTAATCCTAATTAGTAACTGAATTTTGAATATAAAGGTTCATTTGATTAAAGGGAAAAAAGGGCTCAGATTCAACCAAAGTGAGTAATAGATAAATAACTGAATTTGAATAGCAATGAATGAAATTTGGATTTAAGCATTTTCAATTCCCAATTTGATATCATCCATTTGCAGCCCTAAATGCATGAAAACCAGGGTTGTCAAAGGATTAGATAGACTTGGTGGAGTTGCACTGAACCCACAATATTATATTGGCTCTACGTCTGCATTACATTTTTGCGTTGGGCTTGATTTTTATTGTTTCACACCAATTAAGATCCAGACCAATATTTGTATTACAAAGCTACCCCTAATCTGATACTTATCTTTCTCATAGCATGTTTGTACCAAATATGTCAATTTAACAAATGAATAACTTAATAGCAAAGCTATCAATTATAATCTGGTCTTATTAGGTGAGACCCAGTAGTCCCAAATAAAAAAAGAAAAAGAATCTGGGTTCAGATTGGTTCTTCATATTTATTTATCTATTGGGACCAGGCCCAACCACAAATTCTTCTCACGTCTCTATCGGTGAAACATAACCGTGTTTATCGGGAACATTTCTTTCTTAAATAATGACAAAAGAGATGTTTCCGATACACACGGCAGTGCTTAGTGTCCTGTGGGTAGAGATTTGTGGATAGGAAATCCAAACTCGACCCAAACCATTGACAGTATTAGATGCAACATGGCCACATGGGTAGTAATCGTCTTTGGCATCCATGGAAGTCTATCATGAATTATAATGACACTGGTCAAAAGGAGTATCAATAGACTGTTTTGGATTGGGCTCTATCCAAATCAAAATTAATTTGGTCAGATTGGACAGTTTAATAAGATATATTGAATTGGATTAATTCAGATTTTATGTTCTAAGATATTTATCCGATTGGGCCTGATTCATCCATAATGAATCTATATTGGATTGGATTAAAGTAAACCAACCATTGATAGAAGATAAGAACTTAAATGTCAATAAACTAAATTTAAATTAGAACTAATCTAAATTAAAACAAATTTAAACAGATTGGACATTGAATTGGATTTATCCAAAATGGTCCAAATAAATATATTTATTGAATTAAATTGAACCTGATCCATTTGTAATAAATTCACATTAAACTGGTACGGATTGAATCAAATCCAGTCCAATTGACATTTGACACCCCCGCTGATTAATTCTAGCCAAACGATAATTGACAATATTATAAAAGACCAGGTAGTTTAAATGTAAGTGGCCTAAAATGGTGTGAATGTGTGACCATGGGTGGGAGTGGGTAACTTTTCTCCGATGTTCCATTTAACATTTAGCGAGTAACTGGGCCCCATACTGAGCTCGAGCCTCGATGTCTTCAACAAGACTGGTATTATCATCGGGAAATATTCTCATTACATGATGGGAATGTACTGTAGGGCTGAGATGTGAATTCCTTCAGCTACTTCTAATTTTAAACTTTTAATATACACGAAACATTTAAGGGCATATCAGTCTGGAGCTCACATCTACGCCCCAATAAGAATGTCCTACAAGTGTCGCACAACACATCTTAACCGTGTATTTGAAACATCTTCTAATAATAAGTACGGGAGATATTTTCAATACATGTTTGGGATGTTTTGTGGGTCACTTATGGGATGCTGATGTGAACTCATCATTCTCCTCCTTAGGAGTTCGAATCTGCCCCCACAGATAGAGGTGTAAAGTGAATCGTGCCATCCTCCTTGGTGAAAAATTTGGGGGTTGGTCCGGCACAGTGAACTGCCTAGGCCCATGCGGGCCTGTGTTGTGCCATGCCGACATGCGGGCCTGAGTCGGGCCGGGCTACAGGCCGTGCCGTGGGCTTGGACCGTGCCAGATTAGGCCACAGGGCAGGCCTTGGGCCTAGGCCAAACTGGACGTATTGTTTTTATTTATTTTTGAAAATTTTGATTTATTTTCTAAGTAAAATTGTATAACTAAAATATTAACTTTCCTATGAACTTTGGGAATTAAGAATTATTTAAAAAATTAAGAAATGAGAAATCTAAGTTATTTAATACATAAATGAAAAAAAAATACTTAACCAAATTGAAATAAGAATGATGGAATAACAAATTGGAAGAAAAATAGGAATTTTATTTCATTTAAATTTGAATGGTACAAATTAGTGAATTGCAAATACACTGATTGGATCATTGTATACTTGGAGTCTTGGATGAATGAAATATAAAAATGGAATAAATTAATAAAATATAAAAAATACAATATGGTTACAAATTGAAAATACAAAATGACATTGTTAAAAAAAATATATCAAATAAATTAAATAAAATCTAAAAATTTTACAATAATTTAAAAAAATGAAAAATTCTACAATTGTCAAATTCATGAATCATCATTCATGACTTTCATCATCTGCTTTAGGTGAAATGTCCGGTGTTGTATCATGCCCTCCCTTGTCTTGTAATCTATCTTCTGCATTTAGCCAATCCTTGAAGCAGATGTGCATCTCTATGCTCTCATCCTTCATGCAACTTCTTTTGTCATCCAACACCCTCGTACATGCATTAAAACAAGACTCCGATGGAACTATAGACATCAGAGGGGTTAGTAGATCACATGCCATGGCGGCAAGAACCGGATAATTTTTTGAGTGTTCACTCCACCGGGCTAAAATATCAAAATTATTTGATACTTCATCTAAATTAGAAAAATTTATTTGTAAATAAAAATTAAGTTCAGTAAATGAACTTGTTGTAGAACTAGCAGAATTTTGCCTTCTACTTATTAAATAAAAAAAACTTTTCTCTTCTACTACTGGGCTCAAAGTCAGAAGGAGAAGAAGAAAAAGATGAACAAGTTGTAGGAATACAGATTCATACAAACTGTACATTTCAAATAACAAATTATTAATTTCTTCTTTTTTATTTCTTATATCAATATTCATATTTTCAAGTAAAATATCTAAACCATCTTTCCTAATCCCAGGATCTAATTTTGTAGCTAAACAATAAAGGGGAGAAATGTTCTCCCAATATTTTTAAATTTATTTTCCATAATTTCAACAATACATTGAAATTGTGTATTATTTCTATATTTGGCAAAACAATCACTAATTACCATTAATTGATACGGTAAATTACAACTAGTTGGATAATAAATTCCAAATAATTCATTTGTTGCATCATAAAAATGTTTTAAAAAATCTCTTATACAGACTGTCATTTCCTAGTCTTCCTCAAATATCATATCATTAGGCATTTTTAAATTATAAAAATAAAAAAGAATTTGTTTATGAGATATACAACTTTCTAGCATAGCATAAGTAGAATTCCACCTATGCTTTACATTTAATATAAAATGTTTATATTTTAAACCATAATTTTGGCATAAATATTTAAATTCTTGTTTTTTGCTCCTGAACTTTATTATATATAAGTACAATTTCTAATTTTTGAAATATGATTTGAAATAATATTCAAGGCATCTTKAATACATAAATTTAARATRTGACMTGCACATCTAATATGAAATAATTTACCATTTAAACATGGTTTTAATTGAGATTTTAAAATATTTATCGTGGCCATTCAAGCCTAGTAAAACTTAAATTGCTTTTATTCAAAAGCCAATTTTCATCAATGAAATGGCCGATAACACAAATATAACTAATATTAAATTTGGATGTCCAAACATCCGAAGTAATTGCAACTTTAGATTTAAGATTTGCTAACAAAGAAATTAAATTTTATGAATAAAAAAAATTTAAAGCATAAGTTCTTATAGTATTCTTAGAAGCTTTTTCATATTGTGGGTTTACAGAACTATGCAACCATTTTTCTAGCTTTGGATCTTCAACTAACATAAATGATTGTTTTGCATGTATAATATATTTAGCAAGTTCTTATTTCATTTTTTCTTGTGAATATCTAAAAGTACCAAAACTAGTCCCCCTCCCAATCTGTGTTTGGGTTGTTTCTCTCCCTTCATCTTCCTCTCGCTCATATGTGAGCAGATGTCTGCTTAAATGACCCGTACCACCCGTGCTACAATAACTAAAGTCTTTCCTATATTTTTGGCAAATGGCCCTTTTCCCCTTCCCCTCAATATCCTCTACTGTGAAAACTTTCCAAATCGGGCTACTCAGCTTAGAAGTCTTCCTTTTTCCCCTAGTATCACTACTACCAGGGGTTAAAGTTCCACTTCCATCGACATCAAATACATCGGCATCAGTGCTAACACTAATACTATCGTGATGCGATTGAATGTCATCTGTGGTGAATATGTTGGGGAATTGGTTTTGAGAAGGGCTTGCCATTTTTTTTTAATTCTAAAAAGATAAAAATTAATCTAATTCGACTTACCCAGATTGCCGGTTCAAAATCCCAACTTGATTTCAACGGTTGAAGTCTTTCAACATCTAAGCCTCATGAATTGATATACTTGAGCTGGTTGAGCAAGCCTTCTTATTGAAAGTCGAAACTTCGATAAAGTCGAGACTTGAATTGGAAAATGCAGAATCAAACAATCAGTTAATCAGAATTTCTTAGATTGTAGATAATTGAGAATGTATAAGTATGAGAGAGAGAGAGAGAATTAAGAGAATTGTTGAATTTGTGTGACGAGAATGGTGGAGGATGGGGCTATTTATAAGAATTGAACATAATTCAATTGCCCAAAATACCCATAAAACTATCTATTATTTAGTTGTTGGGAGGGGTATTTTGGTTATTGTAAAGTTACTTATAACTTTACCCAAAATGCCCCATAAACTAGTTGTTATATAGCTGTTGGGGGCAATTATGTCATTTTTTCAAACCCCCATAAGCAAAATACAGAAATACCCGGGGGGTATTTCTATAATCCCCCCACAAAGCTGAAAATAGCCGTTGGGCCCCTTTGAGAAGGGGGCTCAACGGCTATATTCCTTGGCAGGCCAAGCGCGGCCCGTTACGGGCCATGCTTCGTGTCGTGCCGAGGGCTGAGCCGTACTAGCATGCGGGCTACTGGCAAAACAACACGTGCTATCGTGTCGTGCCGTGCCAACCCATGGGCCTTGAACCCCCGGCCCAACACGACACAGACTTCCGTGCCGGGCCTGCCACGGCCTGTTAGCCGTCGAGCCGGGCCACGGGCGGCCTAGCCCGATTTACACGTCTACCCACAGATTTGCACCCCAAAAACGTCCCATGCCCTTACAAGATGCCGCGTGTCCTCCCACACGCAAGCGCCTCAGCCTCGTGTGTCGCTAATGGGACGGCCGTTAGATCGTCCTGTTAGCTCCCATTTCACCCAAAAAGTGAGTGAGCTTCCCTCTTTACTCCGAGTTCGAATCTCAGTTTCTCACTCCTCCTTTACTCCGAGTTCAAATCTCAATCTCTCACTCCTCTCTCTTGACCTGCGCTCTCTGAAACTCAGACCGCCCCATCTCCTCCCCCGCCGGATCTTGCCGAGTTCAAGTTCCCTTGTTCGACGCCGACGATCGTTCCGACAGATACACTAGAGATGTGTACTCTCCGTCCCTCTCATCTCAGACATTCTCGAATATGTTTTTTTCAGTTTTTTTTAACTTGTTTTTTTATTCAATAGAAAAAACGCAGAAGGTGCGTACTCCCCGTTCCGACAGATACAAGTGCGGTTTTCTTCCTCTTTATGTTTCTTCTATTTGTACTTTACTTTCCCACTCCCCTGTTCTATGTTGCAAAGCATACAACATTAGGATTTTACCGTTCACATTGAATTTTTTCAGCCCTATTTTAGTTGCTTGTTGCATTATATCACAATACAATTTTAATACCTGAAACCTGGAATGCATCTAAGGGCTTGGAACTGGAATTACGGTGCATACAACGAGTGCATTAGCTTCTAGTTATACTACAGAAGCCGATAGAATCTTGGTTTTGTGTTTTCTCTATTGCCAAAAAAAAAGTTAGAAAAACTGAGAAAAACAGATTCGAGAGTGTCTGAGATGAGAGGGACGGGGAGTACGTACCTCTGGTGTATCTGCCGGAACGATCGTCGGTGTTGAAAGAGGGAATTCGAACTCGGCAAGACCCGGTAGAGGAGGAAATGGGGACGGTCTGAGTTTTAGAGAGCGTAGGTCGAGAGAGAGGAGTGAAAGACTGAAATTCGAACTCGGAGTAAAGAGGGAAGTTCACTCACTTTTTGGGTGAAATGGGAGCTAACAGGACGAACTAATAGCCATCCCGTTAGAGAGCGTATAAGAGGACACGTGGCATCTTGTAATGGCGTGGGACGTTTTTGAGGCGCAAGTCTGTGGGGGCAGATTCGAACTCCCTCCTTAGTCTCCTTTTGTTCTATCCAATTTAAGCATATTTGGCTTTAGAGAATTGAGATTGGTTTTGGGTTTGGGGATATGGCTAAGATGTAGTCTGAGCCCTCATGAATTACTAGTGTTTTCTTGTTCTTTTATTCAAAATTCAAATAAGTGGGTGGGTCCCCTTACATGGATAATTGTATGTAGGCGTGCAAATGGATGGATCATGGTCCGATCCTATCCTATTTTAATTTGTTGGATTCGGATATATTGCATTTTTGTATATTTTTATAAAAAGACGTGCAAATAATAATTTATATATAATGGAAATAGTTGAAGTTTTACTTGTATTTTTTTATTTTTATTTATATAAATTATTATATTTTTAATAATTATTAATTTTTTAGAAATTAAACCGGATTGGATCTTTAACGGATTGGAGTTTGAATTGGAATTTGTGAGATCTGATCGAATTAGTGATTTGTATTATTGAATAATATTCGGATCTACCCTAATTCGAGTCTAATCCTATCCGTTTGCATTCCTAATTGTGTGTGAATCTGCTGCACAAAAGATATAGTGTAAATGCTATGAACAAGATATTATAATCATATATCGGGAATATCTTCTCATGAATGATAGATAATATTATACAAATACCTTTTATGAATGATAACATATAAATACAAAAAATGTTCCTGATGTGTGGCTGTACGCTCTAGTGTCCCGTTTGTTTATATCATGAGTGCAACGTCTGCACGGTTCAGACCCTGAAGAATCTATATAATTATATGCCTTTTGGACTACCTGATCAAGCATCATTTGTAGAGTTTTCAAAGAGATGCAGAATTTATGACCATAATATTTGCTCAAAAACCCAAATTCTAGATAGGAAAATAGGCCCGGTTATCTTCTAAGTAGGATTGTTCATAAAAAACTGAAAAGCTGAATGGAAAAATCCGATTAAATGAACCGGTTCAGTTTCATGTATAATATATATGTTTTCAATATATATTATATCTATATTTAATATATATATATATATATATTATAAATTCAAAGAATTGAAGTGGCCAAAAATTGAATCGTTCAACTGATTAGCCAATTGCTTTTAGTTCAGTTTTTAGAAAAGGATTGGGTCGGTTTATAAAAAAGGCCCATGGTTTAGTTAATCGAACTATGAGCACCCCTATTTTTTAGTAAGACTCATTGGACTTTGGGGCTTAGGTAGTGTTTGATATTATGTTTGTATCGTGGATGGTTTGGCCTCATTCATGATAATAATTGGTGTTCGATTTGTTGGGGATGATCCCCATCTCCAATAACTCGTGGACAAGGACCATTCTAGATCAATTTCTCGTCCATGCTTATTTTTCGTGGATGGTTCTTATCTATTAGTGGACAAAAAAGGGGCATGCGATATTATACATCATGTGCCTTAGTATTTTATTATTTTTTTACCATTACACCCCCCGAAGCTATAGTTTGATGATATACATTTTTAATTTTTTAGCACAAGTTCTACTATTTTTATTAAAGTTTTAAATAATGCAATAATTGTTTATTGAATTATTTAAATTTTTAATAAAATAGTCTCTGAAGGTCCGGTTGGATCTCATAAATACTTATATGAACTTGAATCCGATCAGGATGCCGGATATTCGAATACGACCCAATCCGATTTCATTTAAAAAAATTATAAATTATTAAAAAAAGAAAATACAATAATTTAAATAAAGAGAAACAAAAAATACTAGTATTTTCACCTATTTTTATTATATATATACAGGTTTTTAATAAAAATATAAATAGGAATATCCAATTTTATCCGATCCAATCCAAATATCTAAAATAGGAATATCTAAATCCAACAAAATAGGATCGCATCCAATCCATTAGCACCCGCAAGACAAGATAATGCAAAGAGGTGGAATTCATTGCAGTGTAGCCGATGTCGTTGCTTCTGGTCTTGTCATCGTTTAGTTAAACTTTAACAAATGGAGTGCATAGGGGGTGTAAAACGGGCCGTGCCATGCCACGGGTCGGGCTAGCCCGTGGGCCAAGCATTGGGCCAGGTTGGGCCGTGTATCGAGCCAAAGCTATTTATTTAAAAAAATTGACAAAAAAACTAAAAATTTTAATTTTATATGAATTTTGATGTATATAATTGCTTATATATACAATAATTAAATAAATTAGAATAATAAAATTAAAAATATTTATTTTATTAATATATTATATACTATATATTATTATATAATTATAATTTATATAAAATATATATGGGTCGTGCCGCGGACTAGGCTAGGCTGTGGGTTGGGCCATGTCAGTGCGTGGGCCACAGGTGGCATGACCCGCTCAGTCATGCTCGTAGACCTAAAACCCCAAACCTAACACGACCTGCACAATTGTATCAGGCTTGACACGATCCGCAGACCATCGTGCTGAGCTGTGCCGACCCAATCTAAATTCATGTTGGATCAGGTGACACAGCCCGCTTTACCCCTCTAAGAGTGCATATCTACCACATAGAGGGAGTGGTCCATTTCAGGAACACCCTTTTACTTTGGTCATGTATTCACTTTTTGGATTGGACTGAAAAATTTACAGCCATATCATAAAAGAGATGATCAATCAGGTGTTATTCATCAGTTATTTTGATTTTTCAAATTTTAAGCTCTTTCTATGTCATGTCTTTCCAATATAATAGATTTTCCCACTTTTAAGATAAGTTGATAACCTCACAGTGTATGTGTGGTTGTTTTCCTTTTTCTCTTAGATGATAATTGTATGTGTGGTGCCATTGCCTTTTCCACCTAAAACGTTTTAAGTTGATTATAAATTGGCACACAAACTGTTATTTGAGAGCTATTTATAGTCAAAATAGGTATACCTTACTAATGCATGTGACAAGGCAACGAGAGTTCGGACATCTTGCAAGTAAAAATTCTGCTCACATAATATCCAGCCATATATTGAGAATATCTCATCTACCTTTTATGATAAATTCATAGAAAAATGTTCTCTAATATACGACACTGTTTTCATGCTTTTAAAGTGTTTCATTTAGGCTTGTTTTTGGTTTGAAGGAAAAGGTAAGGAAAGCTATACAAGGTTTGTTAAGGTTTTCCTATATTTCCCTTTTGATGTAACCATTTCTGGTCATGTACCATTTTTTGTGATGTATAAATTTTTTTGGCTAAGTACCTCGTTATTTGACCCGGTGGTGACGTGCCTTGGTGATGAGCTACTTGGTGGCGAACTCCCT